TCGAGCTAGTCAGCAACCTATCATCTTTTTTTTTTCTCCCATTCAGCTGGTTAGAGGAGTGTTACTACATCAGAACAGAGGCACATTCAATTCAATTTTATTTGTATAGCGCCAATTCATAACAGAAGTTATCTCAGGACGCTTTTCAAATAGAGCAGGTCTAGACCAAACTCTTTATAACATTAATTACAGAGACCCAACAGTACCACCATGAGCAAGCACTTGGCGACAAGGGCAAGGAAAAACTGCCTGTTAAAAGGCAGAAACCTAGGACAGATCCTCCGGCTCTAGGTGGGTGGTCGTCTGTCTCGACCAGTTGGAGAGAGAGAGAGACAGACAGGTGCACAGCAACAACAGTATTGGCAATGGCAATCTAGCAGGACCATGGCAGGAGGCTCCACCAGGATCGACAAGAACCTGCGAGACGAGAAAGCACGTGTTTTTACAGGTTGTTTTTTTTATTTTAAGTCAGTCGCTAAGATTGTATCAGGAGAGCAAAATGTGTAGTTTATAAATGTCTGTTTTTTAGTGAAAGGAGATGGTGGAGGAAGAGGTGTCGGTATCAGAGTCTGGCAGGTTTATAAAAGCTGAACTATTTCACTTACGCAGCAGAACATAATGAGAATAATGCGTCTAAAGAAACAGTTGAACGAGTGTATTTCTATAAAACTCTACGGTGCTCCTTTTTTTTAATAAAGAAAACACTTGATTTTCATGGTCAGGGAGGTGGTGGACACTTCTTAAGGGAGAGCATGGCAGAACTATTGCCTGAAAGGATGCACTTGGTGTACTATGCAGCCTATGCTTGCAGTGGAGGAGTTGGTATTGTTAGCACTCCTATACTGAAGAGTGAAAACTACGTGTGCTTTTCTTGCAGTCCTTGAAGTCCTGTGGGTATGTCAAGGAGCAATTTGCCTGGCGCCATTTCTACTGGTACCTCACCAATGAAGGTATTCAGTATCTGAGAGACTTCCTCCACCTTCCCCCTGAGATTGTGCCCGCCACCCTGCGCCGCCAGACCCGCCCTGAGACCGCAAGGCCCAGGCCCAAGGGTAAGCTCACTCATGTACATGTAATGTGGGTTTTGGTTGAATTTTAGCTTGCATGTGACTGTTAGTGATAACTGACATGAGATTAACCTAATGGAGTCATAATGCTGCTGCCATAGTTCAGGATTTAGAGTTCAGGAACTCTGATGATTAATAGTTTGAGTTTTGTATTAGCTTGAGGTGACCTGTAACTAAAATTAATTTGTATAATTTTAAAATGGAAAGAAACAAATCAAGTCTTGATTAAAATTACTTAAGGCAACATCATAAGCCAGATAACTATCCCCCACATCAGTAAATATCTTTTCACATACAAATCTCATTTAATGTTCTTGTCCACTATGTTAAATTGCACAATAAAGGACATTAAATAAGCTCTCAATTTAGCCTGTGCTCCTCCAGTCCACATTACATAGTGCTGGCTTTACATGGCACGCTGCAGGCGCTTCTAATTATCCTGTTTTGGGTTTATTTAAGTCAAGTTGTTAATTACACTAAATCTTTGATTTTTAAACTGAAATTAAGTCCTGTGGGATCTGACACCGTAGTCCAAATAGCTGATGCTTCATATAATTAGTGTCTTAATAATAATAATCCTTCAGTCAAGCCGCAGAAAAAGTTATGCTTTACATGGAGTGGCACCAAAATTGTGGTTGATATGACTGATATTATTAATCATATCGTAGCCAATGTAAATATGCGTATTTATGACACTGTTCCATAAATAGACAATACCTTTTTTTTCTCATTTACGCACATATATATTCTACAAAACGACCATTAGAATATCTCTACGTACTGTCAGACCTGCTAAAATCCTTGGATTCAGTGTTTAACACAGCCCTGTGGCATCATTGATCCTCTCCTGTCATCCTCCCTCCTGCTGATGTAAAGGCACTCACTGCTGTTAGAGAGGAGAGGCTGGGTGGTCTGAGTCTCAAAGTCTAAGAAAACTCAACTCATTTTCAGATCAATAGTTAATTGGGCTTAACCGTTGCACACAATTTGCTTAACACAATATACCAGATGGGGACCTCAACTGTTTTGTTCTGTGCTTTAGTCTCTTGAAGTTTCTGAGTGATTATCATGCATCCCTAGCTTTAAGTACAGGATAACACATGACAGCAGGAAATGTTGGGGTTATGTTTCCCTTAAACCTACACATTTCTTCAAGTTGATCATGAATAGTCTGCTCATAGACTTGTATAGTATGTGTGTATTTAGCTGAAACTGAACCATAGTGGACCCGAGCTGAATTTTCCCTGTTTGTTTCATTAGGAATGGAAGGAGAGAGGCCTGCCCGCCTTAACCGCGGCGAGGCTGACAGAGATACATACAGGCGATCTGCTGCACCTCGTAAGTATACTTCTAACAATAATAGTCACCTTTTTATAGACAGTTGCTAATGTGCTCTAACGCTGTGTGAATAGTTGAAATGAGCAGTTTAAAGTGAGACAGGTTGATTGTTTAAGATGGTATTATTTTACATTGAGAATGATCTGTAATAAGCAACAATTAATTATTGAATGAAACTGGAAAATTCATGATGTGACACACATAATCATGCTTATATTGTATTCAACAATGCAAATTAAGTTTTTGTATTGTTTAATTAGTTGGTTTACACTGATTGAAAAGTTATTTACCTTTTGATATGTTCCCTTAAATATAGTGGAGAATACTTCCTTAAAAGTAAACTTAACATTGTGTTTGTGTATTAGTCTTGTTTTACTATTTTCCGGTGGCTAATGTGTTTTTGAAGCTTGATATGAAAGTCCCTGACTTGTAAATTCATGACTTCTCCATCAGCTGGCGCTGACAAGAAAGCTGAGGCCGGTGCTGGAGCTGCCACAGAGTTCCAGTTCGTAAGTACTGCTGCCATATTTGAACTGTTAAACCTTGTAAATATATTTTCCCTTGTGGGTATCTTTTTGTATTCAAGACAAGAGCATATTTGTGGTCTTCAGTCATTTTTTCCCCTTGTTATGGCAAATGAGGAATGTTTTCAACAGCAATTATAAAACAAGAATACCCAACAGCCCTCCCTGAAACTGTTGTTTGCTTGTGGGTGCGGTTTTTCAATGGCTTCAATAAGGAATGCCAGCAAGCTAAATTTAGTTTGTAAAGTGCAATTATAAAACTTTTATTCTTTTGTTGACTGATGTATTGACACAAACTTTTCCCTGTTGCAGAGAGGTGGCTTTGGACGCGGCAGAGGACAGCAGCCTCAGTAAATTTCACTCGCTCTTTCTGTACAATAAAGAAAATAAAACACAACTCGTCTGTATGGGTATTGCTTTAATTAATAAGGATTGTGCTTGACAAATATAAAAGCCAACAATTAGTTTCAGACATCCCTGGATTTTTTCTGTATGCTGAATAGAAGGAAGCAAAGTCGGGTTTAGATTCTGAAGAATGAGTCAAACAAGATCAGTGACCAGATAAGTACGACAGAATATAAGACAGATTCAGTGAGACTTTATGGAAAATGTTCTTATCTTTGACCAGTTACAGGATATGGTGAGTCACAAGATCTAATTTTGAAGAGTGCTTAAGAGCCCTTTTTGACTTGTTCTGGTATATTAAAGTGTCCCAGTAAGCTGTGACGCTAAATAGAATTCAACTATATTTATACCTGTGGCTTTTGTTTTTCCTACAGTCACACTGTCAACATTTGTGAAAAGGCCAATGGTGTGTTTGGCTCCAACTTGTGCCCATGACATGTTGGGAAAGAGTTGGGTCTGATGTGGTAAGACTGAGAAGGCACTGAAGGCCCTACACACCCTTGCTGTACACAGCCATGTTGCACTTGGACAAGTCACACAATTTTTATTGCTGTATAGATTAGGTGACGTAATTTACCACAGAGCTCAGAGTGAGAAAACCTGTGTGGGTGTACAGGTCCTTCAAACTTTGCAATATGAGGATGTACGATCATTGTGTAACAGGAAATGTGAAAATGCTTCAGATAACGTGAAATGACACATTTTTATGACAGCTTTGAATGTGAAATAATACCAATTAACTTAATTGTTTTCTACTGACATGAAAAGATCAAACATCAATCTAACCGCAACTTCTGGATTCAACCAATTTAAACTTCAGACATCAAAAAAATTTCTTCCAGAAAATGTAATGTTTTTTTGTTGTTTTGGAGCAGTTTCACCACCATCCACAATTAATTAAAATCTTTCCCAGCTGTGAGAATTTCCTCCATTTCCTTTGTGCTTTGCATTGTGGAAGAATAGTGTGTATCAATAGCACACTCAAAGGTTTCTGTGCATGCTGACTAGATAGTTTCTTTTTGTGTTCACTTCCCTATAGTGAACCCGTATTATACCTAAAAACCTGTGTAGAATCAGTATTTTGTGTGAATTTAGGTCAAAGGTGAGCTGGAAAAACATTTTCCTGAGAAAATATTTAGAAAGAGTGACTGATGTTTTACAGCACACATACTGAACAGTTAAAGCTCCAGTGTGTAACATTTAGGAGGATATGTTGGCAGAAATGGAATATAATATTATTAGGTATGTTATGTCTTTTACAGATGCCGTGTTAGCCCAGAACGGACAAACCAAACACTTTTTTTTTTTTTTTTTGCTTGTTTCATGGCCAACGTAGCTTCTCCTACATGCTCGTAAGGGCAGCGTTAAGCCAAGGGAGTTACAACCTGCAACTGCAATGCTAGATACCAATACTTTTTTGATTTAAATTGATTTATTGAATAATAAGTGCAAAAAGAACTGAAAACAAATCTATATATATTGTATCCCATTAGTTGTAGTATGGAATGAGGACACAGCAATATTATGACATATAGAACTTAGTATAATCTATAATCTTCAAATCAATCCTCTTATCTGCATTCTAGTATTACTGTATGAAATAAGCACTGCGGGGCACAAACATCAGAAAATCTCACTGACATGAACACAAACAATGAAACTAGCCTGAATGTGAAATACTGGTGTTTATTTGTTGGCACATTTATATTACAATCTTCAGTCTTCTCGCACTGGTTTTATTCCACAGTCCCAAATGACAAAAGAGAGGAAAAGAAAAATTCCAGTGACGCGTATACCTCGGAGAACACAATTAAGAGTATGTAACTTCAAGGCTGAGGTCAATGGCTAGAAGTGCACGTTTATTTTTCTTATTCAACTGCAAGTGTTTGGGGTCGTCTTTAAACAGCTGTCCAAATCAATTTATAATTGTTTTCTAATCATTTAAAGTCATTCAGTCGTGAAAACGGCCACCTGACCATCATGCCAAAAGAAACTGAATGCTACAATCCTCAGCTGTGATGTGCTTTTTATGTTTTTGTTTTGGCCACAAGATGGCGCAATATATTTAAACCATCACCTTTGGTAAATTAAAAAGGAAGTGACTTCATGTGAAGCTCTAATTTTCTCTAAGCTCTCTATGATTCATCCTGGTTTTGCCAAGTTCAGAGGCTTCAATGTCAAACGGGCCAAATGTGATAGCAGAAATCTCCAGTGAGAAAAGGGAGTAGATGCGTTTGCTCCATCATAACTCCAATGTGCTTATATGGAGACATTTACTTCAGATATTCCCTCCTGAACTCCAGCCTGAACGTATGACAGGAACCGGCTCAATTCTGAGTTCGAAAGGGAATTCTTTAAAACCAACGGACACTACTCCTTATTGACCAAAGCCAAAGTACATCCTCTGGCTGTAAGGGTGCTGTGTTAGCTATATACATGACATTAGCTTGTCAATAACACAACAGATTAAAGAACAAACAGAAAAAAATATGGAGAAAGAACAAGTGGTCATTAATAATTAAGTCACTGGCTGTTACTTGTGGAAATCCTCCTCACATTCATTTTGACAGTACCTGTCACCCGCATCAAACCACCAAGAGCGAATTAAATCATCGGCAATTACTCAGGAATAGGTTTTGGATAATTTTTTTTTCTTTAAGCCGTATACAAGTTCATCCCCTTAACATCCAATTGCACATTTCAATTAAGACTAAAAAGGTCTAATCAACACGAAATCTCAAATGAAGTGCCGAGTAGGGCATCGTAAAGTGAGACTTTGGCCACCACACTGTTCTGATACTCAGCAATAAAGTCCGTTTATAGTCTCAAACCGTTGCGAAGGAGACTTTAGACTCCTTTAATACATACAGTCCTTTAGAAAAAAACATTTTCATTTAGGGGTTATAAAGAGGCCAATATTAGGAGTCTGTCATTGAGTCATTGATTTGCTGGCAGATCCCCCCCCCCTTCAGACAGTTAACGGGAGAAAAGACCATGAATAAAGACAACCAGCTCTACCTGACAACCACTGCTGTCCCTGTAGAGAGCCTCCCTGCTCCCTTTCTAGGTTAGCTTTTGATCCACTAGCTTTCAGTTCTCAATGTAATTTCCCATGAGGGCTTCCCTCCCCATCAGTTTCTGGACTGCTGAATCATGAGACTGGAGTTTTCTGTTCATACTCCAAAGTTAAATATAGGCACCTCATAATTTCAACCAAGATATAAACAATCCCCCCCCCCCTTTTTTTTTTTTAGGATTTGAAAACTACAGCTCCCACGAGTCTTAGCTATTGATGCTTGATCAATTGAATGCTTGCAAGGTAATCATTGATTTCTCTTTATCAAAATGACAAGGTGCTCAAAGTTTACCATCAATAAAATGTACTTAAGCTTTAAAGCTGCTACAATGAATCCACAGTGGTGCACAAAACTACTTGTGTATGGAAGGTGTTGCTTGTAGCCTGATATTTCCCTCAGGAGTTGGTGGAGGCCAAAATGGAAAAAGGAAGAGTGAATATTGGACTTCCATTTAACTGATGGACACAAACATACTGCCTAATGAATGCCAATACTGCGCCATATAAGCCAGATGTGTAGACAGGCAACTATTTGCCATATGAACTTAATAAAGTGATAATGTGTCATGTGTTTACAGCTTGTTTCTGCCCCCAGCTGCCAAAATAATCTTTAATTAACCTGTAAATTATTACAGGTTTAAATATAGACAGAAAACCAGAGTATCATATTCAAGTTTTTGTGAGAGATAAATAAAAGAAACCTTCTATGGGAAGATACACTGAGGTCTGCTTTACTTCTAAACTAAACAGTGGTTTGGGAACTCAGACTGCAGTTGTTTTATAGCCTGGCCAAAGATGAGGGGGAAAAAAAACAGTAATCCAATTTGTTTTGGTCTAGAAGAGAAGTAAGGATTTTGAGAATATTCAATTATAAATAGGCTCTTCACTCTCACCTACAACCACAGTCACATTCCTTGTTCTTTAGCCTCAGATGTACTGTACGCTATCTCAAGAGAAAATCCCCAACAGCTCCAAAGCTAACGCCATGAGTTCAATCAGTTCTTCCAGCCTCAGTTGAAATGACATGTACAACTCACAGATGTGTAAGAGGTGTTTTGTCATTTGTACTCTCACCTTTGATCTATACAGAAATAAACAATTTACAATAAAAACCTCTAACATGCTATCTACAGCGCCTCCAGTTTCACAGTATTGAGCCAGCTGCTTCACGCCACATTGAGGCCAAGTGACGCAGCTCGGCTAAAGAGACTTTTGCCAGACGTTAGAGAGAAAAACGAAAAAAAAAAAAAAAAGAACTAGTATCCAAAAGCATTTTACATGTTAAAAACGAGGTCTCAAACTGTACAAGGCTTGTTTGTTCTGCATCTTGCCAAAGACAGCATTAAAGATTCCATTACTTTCAATGTCAAGCAGGTGTTTTGAGTGTTTTGGGGATGCAGATTAAATACTAAAAAAAAAAAAGAATAAAAAAAAAAAAATCATGACCGTAATGAAAAGTGCCCACTAAAGTCACCTGTGCTATGTTACGAACACAATGTAAACAATTGCTTTAAACCAAACTGAATGTGAGGAGTAAAATATGGAAATGGGTTTTAATAACTTAAGTGATATGTGTTGAATTTTGAAATTACAAGTCCATGATTTTGAAATCTTCTATTTCTACCCTCTCAGTATGTGGAGGAAGACTTTTTTCAGTCACAAGAAAGAATTTAAAAAAAGAAAACAAAAAGGGATTAAAAAGGAGGTAAAGACACTGAGGAGAAAGGTGGTTTGTTTTACATTGTACTGTATGTTGACATTCTTCCACTCTTTACAGTATATACTCTCTGTTTGAGAGTGAAACTTGTAGTGCTTGGCTAGCTTCCCAAATTAGAGAGAAACACACTTGACACTTGAAATTGATAGACTAGTGAGGGGCCGTATCCTTCTTATTAAAGAGACATCAAAAACCACGATAAGGACTAAAATGAAGAGAATCCAAAGACCTTACCATAAGTCTGTTGCACAGTCGGCATCAGGTCACTCGAGCGAGTGAGACACAACAAAACAGTGCTCATGCAAGACAAGTCACTTCCAACAACTCTGTTCATTCAGATACAGACAACATTTCCTATCCTTATAACACGAGGGGGGAGGGAGGGGGCGGGACTACACTAATGGGCACATTCATTCACAGAAAAATTAAAGAAAAATGGAGAAAATGTTAAAAAGACCACCAAAAGCCTTCAGCTTAAGCACTAAGTATACACTTTTACATTACAACAGTAAAAAGTAGTTCTTGCATTCAATAAACACCACGCTACGGGCGCGTTAAGGAAAGAGAATGAGGGGAGAGAGGGGACGTAGGGACATTTCATGCAGTTGTCGGTAAAAAGAAAAAAAAAAGAGGGGTCAAAAATTACATTTACATTTACAAAGTGTTTCAGACTATTCACCCAACACTTGTCATCAAGTCTGTGCCACAGTTCTGGCACAAAGGAGTTGGCAAGGCAAACCATGTTATTGAGACAAAAAAAGAAAGAAGAGAAGAGAAATGACATGACACAAGTAAGAGCGCAAGTGGTGGCGAAAGCTCCTGGGGGTGTCAGAGTTATGGTTTTAGTTATCTGATACCCGAGACGGAGCTCTGATTGATGCTGTAGGTAGGGGAGAGGTCCCCACCTATCGTGGCCACCAAAGGTGTTCCGTTACTGGTCAGGCAACTCTCCTGGAGAGCCTCGAAGTAGGTGGCCTGCACAGGCTTGTGACACTGCAACACTTGTATGGCATCGTCTATTTTAAACCATTCCCTTTTTCTCCCTGTTGACAGAACAAGACACCATTGTGGAGCAAGTTAAGACATGTGAGAGACAGCAGGAGTTAAAAAAAAAAAAAAAAAACATTATGAAAATAGGTTTTCACTAATTATCAGTACTGTACGTGGCATTAGAGTGAAAATCACAAGGGTAGAAACAAAGCTGGTGTTATTATCTCCCTCACTATAAAAATCTCTGAACTGTAATATCGCTAAGGCCTGGGAAAGAAAAATAAAGCTACAGAAGGCATGTGACTGCCTGAGAACTTTGTCCGTATGATCCCCACTTTGACAAGTAAACAAATGCAGTGCTTTACCAATGTTGACCGAGTCCTCCCAGTCCTCCAGCACCTCTGTTACAATAAGAACATAGACGTAGGTTCTGTGTTTCCTCTCTTGGTTCTGTAGGGGTGGAGAAAAAAAAAGAAGCACATTTTAACTTCTCATTCACAAACATGCTGCAGAGTATGTTGACATTTGAAGACCAAAAAAAGCCTACTGCAAACAAACCTCAAATACTCCAACTAAGCGACCTAAAGTCCCCTTCACACCGGCCTGTAAAATAAAGAAAAATGATTAAAATGGTGAGCAAATACATATCACCACTTACAACAGACAACTAATGGGTTTACTTAAATATGAAAAGGCAATGTGGGGTGGGCAAAAACATAACACTTGTACGATGTAATGCAATCTAACAGCCTGAAAATAAACATTAACATTGTATTGTTTTGTTGAGACTCTGTCAGAGAAGTAATGATTTAATTTCTATGGTAATTTGAAACTGTAGTTTGTTTGCGTTGCAGTAGATTAAACTGCATCCTAGGATTGTTTTTATCCCCCTGCAAAATCACCTAATCTAATTCCTGTGTTGCTGCTGAATCCTCAATATAAAGCACAAGTAAAACATACATAAAACACTCACTTAATTTGACCAAAAGCTAAGTAATGTCCTACATGTGCTGATTCCCTCTTCATTAATTTCACACTTCAGTTAAAGGAGGTCCATTTAAGCCTACAGTAAGATAACATTTATTAAGCAATCCAAGAGTTGGAAACAACTCTTCAACTGTAATTCAAACTAGAGGTGCAATTACAGTATAAAACTGTATTAGGGTGGCAACTAATGATTTTCTATATTAACTGATTGATAATTTGGTCCAAAAAAACAAAAAACATTAGAAAATAGTAAGAAATGCCCATCACAAATCGCCCATAGCCCAAGCCTCACATGTCTTGCTTTTTAAAATTCCAATCATACGAAAAATAAATGTAACTAATTGATGTGGTTCTAAATTTAACAGTTAGAAAATACATGTAAACAACTCTGTTCAGCTATCACACACTGACAACTTCCCTACGAGATGCGTCGCATATCATAAAAGGTCAGTAACACACAACAGAACAACTGTCGCAGTTACTCTTCCCAGGATCCTTAATCCCAAGCCATGCCAGTGTTACAACCTTTCCTAGAGAGAGGATAACTTGAACATTTCTCATAGCTTGTTACTTTTAAAACATATTCTAGTAACAAAACTAATCTCCAAGGCAGCGCTCAACTCCCAGAGGTGACCAATAGGTCAGGTTTAGATACAGAGTCAGACCCCTTGCTGACATCTTTGCCGTTTCTTCTTCAGGTTCCAGTTTCAGTCTATAAATAAAATGTTGACTGAACACACTGTACCATGGAATCAGTGTTGGACCCTTCAGGCCTTCAGCAAGATCATATGTTAAAGAACAGGTCCACCACTAGAAGCTCCAAAGACGTGCCAGGGATTAAGCAATAGGCCAAAAGTCAACCTGTATGTTTTTATGAGATGGAAAATGTCCCCCACTCAAGCATTCACGTAACTGAAGACAACTGCGCATCACATTGAGAGCATTGAGGCTGCATTATAACTCATGCAATACTGCTATTGGTGCAGGGTCAGGGTGTATGACTACCGAGCATAAGCCGAGATTGTGAACCGTCAGGTAGACAAAGCAACCCTATGTAACCTTTGGCCTTCTCTTCGCTGTCATCCCTGGCAAGACTCCAGTGAGCATAAGCAATCACTCACCACTCATACAGACATCGGATGCCAGGATAAGGATATGTCTCGTTACACCACCGTCAAATAAGAGGCTTAGGAAGCCACAGTACGTGCTGATGCATTGAGTACCACTCAAAGTCACCACAAAGTTTCTGAATGCGGCCTTTTAGCACTTTTGACAAACCTCAGTAGCAATGTGACATTGCTTTTGACCGTGTGGAAATGTGTTGGCAAGCTGTGACGTCCTGCAACCATCAAAGCTACCAAACAGCTAGAGCCAGGATAAGGGATGATATCAGCATCCATCAGTGTGATGGATCACACACAGAGAATAGGCTTTATATGGTCAGTGACCCGCCAAGGGCCGACAGCCGGGCGAGATTCAGTCTCTTCACTGCCATTCTGACCGAAATGCCCAAGGGATGAATAGCATGTGCACAAGAGGGAAACCTGACTTAAGGGACGCACAGGCGGTATAATCAGGATATTGATTTACAATGAAGCTTCAGAACTGTTTACTAATTGCTACCCATCCTCCCCAACACACTCATAAAACTAAAAAAAACATTTGGTTCTTCAAAAATGCCTCTGTAACAAGGTTGCTGTTGTAAAAATAGACATACAAAGAATAAAAGCTGATTGTTTTTCCTTCAGTTGCCGAATTTGTGGGATTGGACAGTGCCGCTCTGCAACCGCTGGGTAGTCAGTGTTCAATCTCAGTGTGACCTCCTTTGACACCTAAACACTGCTTTGTAACATGATGCTATGATACAGCTTACATGTTGCTAGGCTCTCTCTCTCTCTGTCCATGCAAACAGGATGACTCCACTGACGAAATGGGCTTTGCGAGCAAGGTATTAGGCCCAGTGTTAAATACAGACCTGATTTAATAGAAATGAAACACAATACAACTTATGTGCCTCACTGCAAATGGAAATCCTTTCCCAGAACAATATTCCTGGCTATGAACTAAGTCTAGAAAGGCATGTTTCACATCCATGTTTCGGATACAAAGTTCAAGTAAAGTTTGCCAGTACAAAGGCCCCATAGGAAGGATTATCTGACATCATTAGTCAGTTACAAAAAAAAAGGAATAAATAGGCTTAAATTCGATATAATAACGATGAAAAACAGTTACAGAACTGACCTCTTCACACACTTCTCGAGCTGCAGCAACATTGGGCTCCTCCTCTGGCTCCATTCCCCCTCCAGGTACAATCCACTTGTCAGGATGTCGACTACTGCTCACCAGCAGCACCTGCGAAGCATCCAATGCAAGAGCGGTTAGGCATTAGTGTCTGACACAATGTTGTTTGTTAATAGTGGTCACATTACACAAGTGTTGCTGCTTGAACAAGATATTCAGTGATCTGTGTCAGTAATAGACGCAAGAAGAGCCAACATGTGTTACAACAACTACCGGTCAAGAATCAAAACTATCACTGAAGTGACCTGAAGCTGAGTTATATCATGTGATTGAAGTTAACTCACAATATGGTTGCAGGCAAACAAGTAACAGATTTTCCCACCACCAATAGTAACTTTATGACTCACTGAGTTGTCTTGCTTTTATCCCCCCCCCACCACCACCCCACAGAAGGATGGCGAGTTCATGGTGTCAACAATCTGTTGGAGAAAAGCTGAGGCTTGGCTGAGTGCCGATCTGGTACATTACAGAAGTTTATAGCGACGTGCAGGTCATACAGATGTGTTTCCTGTAATCAACAGCCCACGTTGTTCACAGTCTGGCTTCAACTTTAACCAGAATGAGGAATTACTTTTGTCTCAATTCGTTTCCTTCCCTGGTAAAAAAAAAAAAAAAAATGTTTCCACTACAAAGACATCTTTGTGCGTGTTGTTGACTAGACATCAGCTTCCCAAATCGCCTCTGATCTCCACTAACCCTTTACAGGCTACTTTAAGCGACACATTAACAGCTATGTTAACTACGTCGTGAACAGAAAAGGTTTCGATTTTGACACCAACCCCAGTGGATGCTCCAAATTGAAGTACCTGTGAATTTAAACACACCCCAAAACACATACTGATGTAACGCTAAGAGAGCCAGGTATCCCCACCAGTGTTGTCTTTGGGCTAACAGCGAGCTACATATGAGTGCAGTGTTTAGTTAACGCCAGCAGTCACTAATAATCTCTTATATGAGCAGATAAATATCATGGCCTGCCACTCCAGAAAGCCGAACACTTATTTAATCCAGCCGCATCTCAGTGTGATAAAGTCAGCCCTCACCACAGCCTGTACTTTGGGCTGTGGTCGCTGGCCGAGAGCCGGCTTGCAGCTAACAGGTAGAAGAAGCAGGAGGTTGCTAAATGCACAGCTAAAGAGGCTTAATTACATAACACTTGGGTAAGTACGAGCTAAAAAAACAACAACTATCGTTTAATGCACGACCTCGGAAGACAATACGAGAGTTTCAAGAGATTTGGTCGTTTTCCAAGCGGTATAAAACCACAGCTGTGTTGATTAAATGTGCCGATTTACAGACAGAGAAGAACCATGAAATGAGCCGCGGATGCTAATGTTAGCACGGCCCGCCAGAGGGGCCACATCCTCGGACTCACCTCCTCCTCGGTCTCGCTCCTGAAGCACAGACAGGCGGCCCGCTTCTTGTACCCATCCCCGTCGTACGTCCGGGTTTGGTTCGACTTGAGCTTCATCATTTCAAAAAGGGCACAAAAGTTCAAAAGTACAGCTAAGTTTTCCACTCGTAAAGGTGATGGTTGTTAGACGCAAAGTCCTCCTCCGGGGAACCTCGGCGTTTTTTTACTTAAAAGAAATAACTTCTTCTTCGCTTCATTTTCACAAACCTAGGCACATCTACGGCACGGTCGCCATTACAAGGAGCCGCTACGCCCACGACGTAATTTAACCTTTAGTAGCTCGGGCAGCGTAAGAAAAGTGTCGCAGCGGACGTTGAAGAATTGGGGCAGCGGATACGACGAAAACGCAACAGCACGCTCTGACTGGAGCGAGCCGGTGACAGAAACTGGCACTTTTTTGGCTCCAAGCAGCTTCTCACAGCCACTTGTTTGAGGCTTGATGTATAGATTAAATTATTATTTTTATTTTTATTTTTTCGCCGACTTACTTTTGGAGGATTTAAAATGTATTATCGTTTTTTTTTTTTTTTTTTTTTTTTTTTTTTTTTTAATAAATATTAAATATTCCGTCATAGTTACACAATAGTTGCGATGATTGGTTTTTGATTTATCAATTTCAGCACCTCAGGTAATGGACAGCGCCTGTACTAGCCTCAAAACTGATCCCAATAATGTTTAAATATAAAAGGAGGGAAGGCTTCTCTTGTCACCATTAGTCGGTTAATAAATGTAGGCAATGGACCGAGGCTTAATTAGCAACCATTTGATAATCAGTTAATTGTTTCAGTCACTTTTAACACACAAAAAAGGTCTGAAATGTTAGAATGTAATGTTTAATATGATAATAAACTGAATATTTGTGGGGTTTTATCTGTTGGTCAGATAAAAACAAGTAATTTCACAATCGATTTATTGAGAAAATAACCGGCTGATTAACTGATAAGGAACATGACTGTTAGTTCTTCAACAAATTACTCAAACCATTTTATTATTATTATTATTATTATTATTATTATTGTTATAATTTGATTATGAGAATTATTGTCAATTCGTTTTTTGTCTATCAAATAATTAATTAATTGATAAATAATTTCAGCTCTAGATCTGATACCAAGTAATACCAGGTTCAAAATATCCAATATCTATACTGATATTGATACTTTTAAGTGTTCAGGCTTATGTACTATCATTGGTTTGGAGCCATGTGTCTTGATTCATTATGTGAATGCATCATTAACAGATTAATTCATTTTAACTCTCTCATTTACTATTATGGTAAATAAATGTGTATGGTGTTAATTCTCTGAACCAATCAGATGATCAGTGCTGTCACACACACACACACACACACACACACACACACACACACACACACACACACACACACACACACACACACACACACACCAGCAGCAGTAGAGCAGACAGTGTTTATGTTTCCAGAACATGAGACCAAATGTGATCTGATTTGGTCCTTTTCTGCTTCACTTCAGTCTTCTTCCTTCTTGCTCTCAGAAGACATTTCTACATTTTTTACTCTAACCGATTCAATGTAGAAAGATGGAGGGGAGGGGGCTCTGACCAGCAATACTATTCATATAAACAAATAGAAAATGAAACAAATAGCAAGTGAATATCAAATGAAGAACAAGCATAGCTACAAATAAAGCATACAGTCCAATTTATACGCACCACAAATTGTCAGCATAATGATTTCTGTTCATGTCTTGTTTATTCCATTCTACTGGTTCATTGCTCATTTTAGTTTGTGGCATTTTGTGTCTTCTTTCTGTTGATGTCCCATTGCTTTTACTGCTGAAACAATCCAATTTCCCACCAGGGATCAATACAGTTTCTTTACGTATATTTCCTCTCCAGGTTTTCCCAACAGATAGACATTTGAAATGTATCTTACCTCCCTCTCGGCTTCTCAGATGGCTCTTCATTAAAGTAAATCCCTGCTTTTCCCATCCATAAAGCTATTTAGTGTCAAACTGAGAAATCATCTTTTCAAATGGTTTGCAAATGTGTACAAATGTTGGTGTTATATGACATTTATATATGTTTAGAATGAGGCAGGTGTCTTTATATTTTTATTATTATACTATTACAATTCATATGTTTAGATATGTATAATAAATACACCCTTTACAGGCATAAACATGAAAATCCAGGAGGTTCACACAATATTACAAACACATACGATATAATTGCTATCAGCTACAGTATAAATCCTTTATAAAAGTTTGTGGTGTTAGAATTGGTTTATATTAGTGTGCCTGACATTTGTTCCTGCTTGTGCATGGCTTTGTTTGTGTGTGTGTGTGTGTGTGTGTGTGTGTGTGTGTGGCATGAAATGTATAACCGTTGTAAATTAACACGTTTCTGACACACTCTCAACAAACTTTAACAAAAAAACCTGACCTTTCTGCATGTTTTGTTTTTTTGTGTCCACCACCCCCTGTGGTGTAGTTGCTGCTGACATTTTCTAATATATCGCCTATAGTAAAAACATTAGAGGATGCAGGAAAGAACATGTAATTAGGTGCATGTGTTGCCCCAGCTTTGAGCAGTACACCACATTAACATAAGAACATAAATATTAAAAAAGTAAAGTATTTTTTTTAAAGCAGAAGTCAGTAGTCAAGTCAGCATATTCTCATGAGAGAAACTGTTTAATTTATTGTAATTATTCACATTCAGCAATAACCACAGACCTACTGTGGACCACAGGGAGAAGATTATCAGAGGGCAGTGAGAACATAATACACAAGTGCTACATAAGACTACAAATGGCATCAAATCTGTGTGGTTATAAACATGCAGCAAAAAACATGCTGACAAACTAACTGCAAATTAATGTGCATATTCTGTGATCATGAAAAGTAATTGATTTCATTTAATTAGGCAAAAGGGATTAATATGAAGATTTCGCAATCAAGACACAGATTATACAACACAAGCAGTGACCTTATCAAAAATAAAATCTATTTCTAGTTTTTAACTACAAAGACATGTGGTGCTAAGGTAAAATGTAAAATCTTGTCATCTTAGGGTCAGAGAAAATAAAAATCTCTCTTGGGTTTCGTCCTGTGCTGTCTGCCTCTCGCTTCTTTCAGGGGGATGAGAGCAGGCTTTACACAATTAAACATATCTGTATAGGGTCATACTCAAGAGGTTGCACTTTTACCGTCTGCAGTTGCTACGGCAACCCATTCTCTTTGCAAGTCTCTGGTGAACCATTTGCACACAGGAGCAGAGAGACAGTCCCTGTCACGTCCAAAAGAGGGCGCTCACTTCTTTCAGTACATAAACCAGTATGTGAACCAGTTAAATGAAATAAAGTTTTTAATATATGGTTATGTTTCAACTGATGATTTTTCAATGACTTCCTGTTTACATGAAGTGTATTTGTTATTTTGTCTGGACAACACTACAGATGTTTTCAAGCAACTGATTTACACCTCCCCAAGTCTTAGCTCAGACATTATTTTTAACCAGATTTAGTAACTCACTAGTTTGAAACTAGCTAGTTTTCATATAGGAGAGACTTCACACACAAACATATTGGATTTACAAAGAGCTGCGGCAACCGAGTCAATGTTTAGTTTTTTGTAAGAAGAGAACATTCATTTGAGTCATTTGTTATATGATAGCAGACAACCAGGGTTTCACTGTGGCAACAGTAAATGAGCAGAGACATGTGTCTTTAGTGCTATATCTTTCTTAATATGGCAATTCCTGTGAAGATGTATGACACACAACCAAAGGCTGTGCAGCGGCTGAGGTTTGTTTAATCGAAGACTGCAAAGATATTGGCAACATTAACCTTTCCAGCACCCTTTTTCTCCAGGTAAATATGCACGTTAATGACTAAATAAGCAGGAGATTGTGTTGTTCTGCCCAGGGCCAGAATAGATTGTGCTTGGTTTCACACGTAAGAGAAGCAATTTACAATGTTGTGGTTTTCTTGGCTTAAAGTGACATTGCCCTCTCTCTCCCTGTGTGTACGGTATCCTTTGCTGAAAGGTATCAGCAAGTTCTAAAATCATTCTGATATAGGCTACCACACAAAGTGTTTTGTATTGAATGTTGTGGAAAAAAAGTATTTCAAATCAGAACGAGTAAGAACCAAATGTCTTGTTAATCAAGAAAATCTATTTTAGATGTGTAATTATCACACACAAATCACTGTTATTTCACTTCATATGACTATACCATCAATCAACGAATGTCTCAGCTATGTTATACTTAATAAAAAGCTTGGATATGTTATTTCTTGATCAAAATGTCTATGGTTTATATACCCTTCAGGGTTTGTTGTAATTTCCCACATAGTATATTTAAGGATGATAAATGTCATAACCACCAGGGGCTGCTGTCATGCCAGTTACAACCGGCCCAAACTCATATTTCTACTGACATTCAACAATTCAACTACTACTTATTTATTTAATAGCCTACGAGCAAAGAGATCATGTATACAGCATATTCACAGAATATGAAATCTGTGAAATGTAAATCAAAGTTTGCCATTAACAGGGATATACAGTAGTTGGATATAGTTGTTACAATACAGAAAAAGGACCTTACGTTATGTGTTCCCACATTGTCTGTGCCTCAGGAGCAACACCAGCATCAGCCTTGTGCCAGCACAAACGTGTCACAGTAAAGCAGGCGACTGTCCCTTGAATAATTCAGTTTTTCCTTCATTTATTTCAGGTTAAGTTCAAAACGCCGTGGAAACGTGTCCTGCAACAATGACCAAAAGGCACATGAGCTTTTAGTGAGGAAAGGTGGAGTGAGTATGCTTCCACTCTACTCAGTAGACACCCACAGGAAATTCATATTTTTAGATCAAAGGTACATATAACATCCACATACTGTACTTTATTGTCCTTTTTGCGATTTTGGCATCCCACTAGAGGCGTACTTGGCTGTCACCTCTGAATGCCACCTACAACATAAGGCTGTCCTTCTGTACACAGTCGTTTACAAAGACTTGTAGGATTTCTTTCATAGGTCACAAACTTTTAGTATTTTGATTTGATTTGATTTGCATATCTTATTTTATCTGACCCCAAATCCAAACAATATTTATTGTACTATAGAGTAAGCAGCAAATTTTCATATTTGAGAACCTGGAACTATAATTGTTTTGGGCATTTTTGCTTGAAAAACAACATGTTGCCCAAATAGCCTTTAAAGTAAGCTCATCCTTAATGCAAACATCATATTAGGCTGTTTGTTCTATAAAGAAATATAAAGAAAGATCACAACAAGGGGGCACTAAACCTCCATACCTTGTTGATCAAATAACAAACAATTTTGCAGGGCTTTAATGATCACTCTTATTAGCAACATTTTCTATTGTTCAGAGGGCAACAAGGAGAGAATGTGTCAGTGTTTGAGAGTATATTGCAGATGAAATACACTGTATACGCTCTCTACCATAGATAGAATTTGTAGTGAGTCTCTTATATAGAAAAGCTTTTAGAGTTCAAAGGTTACACCTGTGACAACTGTCAGCCAGCCAGCATCTCAAAAAAATATATCACTCACACATGGAGCATATGGCCAATCTATCTGCCCTGGCTGGCCTGTTTCATCTTTGTAAAATATTGCTTCAAACAGAAACTGACTCGTTTCTATGTCTTCCAACTTGTGGGTGTGTTAGACAGTCAGAAGCTCAATTTTATATAATCAAATGTCAGCGGATAGTCTGAATACCCCCGGAGTTCAATATTAGATGACACAGGCACTGATGAAAAGATGTGGAACACAAACATCCTATTTTGTTCCAACTATTAGATTATAGTTTATTTCATACTGAGTGACTTCTGTGCCTTCTCCTCCTCCTCCTCCTCCTCCTCTTCTTTTGTCTTCTATCATCATTATATTCTTTAGTTGAAAACTTTTAATGCAGCTCTTCCTACATCAGTTTGATTCAACATTTATTTGGTGAAGTTATTTAAGACCAAGTTCCTTTTTACAGTAAAGGCAAAAGGCCTCTTTATCGGGGAATGAGTAAGTGGACAAAACAACCAAAAACAGGTCAGAGCTGTCACAAGCAGAGGGTCACTCTAAATCATACAAACTGCAGGAGCTCTGGCCTTTAATGAATCCCATCAATAAACTTAAAATCTTGTGACCTCAGACTTTGCATTCTGAGTAATTCCCCTAATGTATCCATGAAATGAGAGACATCTGGGGGCAGGCGATTATGCCTGAGTGGCTAGTCTTTTTCACTGGGATTTTCACTAGTGACTGGAATTAACATGGCTTAAATTCTCTCCGCCCCATAGCTAATTGAAACAAGTAATCTCCAGAGTTTGCCTTGCACAGAGGGATGGGGAGGACTCAGCGGCGTAACATGTTATCCTCAGAGCAGACACATTCAACAAGACTTGTCTCCCAGTGTACTGCAGCAGAAAGCAAAGCAGGAATGGGTAACTTTTGTATCCATTCTCCACAGCTAAATAATTTACTTATTATGATAACTATGCTAAACAGAAGTAGAACATTGCTTTGAGGAGCTGACAGATGGAAGTGCTTTGTTGGGTGATAAAAAGATGTAAAACACTCCGTTCAATAACATGCACAAGTTAGTGCTGATTTTTTTGCACGACTTATACGGTCCCCTGACAGCCCACAAGATTACCACTCAGTCTAGTCGTGTAGCTGGAATTTGCTCCAGCAGAGGTGGGGATGAATATTCAGAGGCTCAGCTGCCTCCAAGGCCCACAGAGACATGGCACACACCCCTCCAAGGACCCCCCCATCTCTCTGCCTGCACACACACACACACACACACACACCCCCCCTCCACTTTCCCTTGATGTGGTGGAGTCAGTCCAACACTCCACAGGTGTGACCCACTCAGACCTGTGAAAGCTTCCACACACCACTCGGCCCTGTGATCAGGAAGGCAGAAAGAGCAGCTGCGCATATTCAGGAAGCAAAGACAGAATTATCACCATGAGCCTTCTATTGGACATCATGGAAAATTAATCAATCCCTCCTCCTACAGGACTGCAGGATGCACCGACACCACAGTTAAACTGATTGATGAGGAGGATCTCCGTCTCTCTGCATTACATTTTGTAGACTTTTGAAGGTTAATAGCCAAACGATTGATCCATCAATCGCATTAAAGTTTCATATAATAACACTCCATACTTGGTTTGAAACTAATTTCTTCCTTTTTTTCTGGAAAATGTTGGACATATATACAGTGTATAGGCATGCCCTTTTACATGATTTCACTGCAGAATGTGGCTGATGTCCGTCAGTGAAACACACAAATGAAGATTGTTCATCAATGTCGACGCACAGGATCCCAAGCGCGTTGGGACTCAACATACTGCATAGGCTGCGCAAACAGCACCTGTAACGTTTGAGTCGACCCAGAAGCGTCATATCTGAAACACTCACTACACCTTCAGCTGTCCCCGCGACAGATGGATGGATTGCGCGCTATCACGTTGAAGTTAATTTGATAGTGTTGCATCTTGTCATGCAAGTCCAACTGATCTACAGACATAAAATATGTCTTAGAAATATAGCCATTAACTGCCCTATATAGTAAGCTATTTTAAACCAGAGTTTAATTAGAAAGGCGGTGTGGTTTCCTGTGCTTGTCTGTCACAACACAAATAAAAATGAATGTGCAAACCCCGCCACTGAAGTGTGCGCTGAGAGGTAAAACCACAGGCGGCCAAATTCGACGTTAAGATTTAACAAATGGAAGCAAAGGCTCCGTGTCACACTTTAAATATGCAGCCACTGCCAAAGCGCTGGTGGTATTACATGCTGTAATCTGGCATTCACACCTCTCCCCCCCTCCACCCCCCATTCATTGATGGTGCATTTCTTCCCTGATACAGGCGGTGTGCTGCGATGCATTTAACATCAATCACATGCGGTGTACGGGGCGCATACAGTCCTCCGTCTATCAGCTGGAAAGTACTCTCGCCTCGGGTGTGGGATGTGTGCTCCTCCGCTCTATTATCCCGTAAAAATCTGATCCACTCATCGCAGGAGCCGTCTTGGTGAGTGGCCCTACTGGACTTGGCATTTATTCCCCATTCGCACAGAGCCTAAAGTTGGGACTTGAGACTTTCAGCACCACTTTTCCGCGGACAGCGCTCGCAATGATTTGGGGCGATCGACGCAGCCTCGAAATGCGTGTGGGTTCCTTTTGGATACTATTCACAAACAATGTTTAGATGTTGATTTTTCCTTTTTTTTAAATTTTTTTTTTAAAAGCCAGAATTGCTCAGGAAATCCTTCTTCCACAGAATTGATAGACTCAACAAGATACGATTTTGCTTTGGATATGGGTCACTTCTTATAAAAGGATTCTTCGTGGATAGGTGATAGGGGTAAGTACAGCCACCCAAGCTGCAAAAAATGGGTCGTCTACGGCAATCAAATGTTTAAGAAACGTCGTGACTTAAATTTACTTAAGTCTTGAGGTGGAGTATTGAAAAGATACTGGCTATTAGGAGCCATGATACAAATCTGGGGATGCACGCAAACATTTTCCGCGCAACTAACATGTTTCAACGCTGTTTAATACTTAAATCAGGTACTGATGCATACTGTTCTTGCTGTTTAGAAAAAGTAGATGTCCGGCTTGCCTATAACGAGGAGTGCAACGCCCAGGACTGGAGGTGCATTGATTGTTTTAACGCGTTAAGGCGCAGCGGTCTGTGTGGAGCTCTGTGCGTTGCTGCGGTGCAGAGGCGCCTGAAGTCTCACAAAATATGATAAAAAGAATGACTCAATTTCCAAAGCGCTGGAGCTACGGTGTTTAAATGTAATTATAGCTACAGTTTTGAAAGCACAGATTAGACCAAACAATGGGCACATCTTTTTTCCAATACAAACCAATCCTGTCTGACTCTGAATGGCAACAACGGGGTGCAAACATGCTCCACCAGATTTATCTAATCTCCACCTCTCTCTTCGTGTCTCCCTCTCAGCCCTGAAACAAGTTGAGTCACGTAGGGGAGCACCCTAGCTGGGTGGTGTTTTTTGAGTGTGTGTTGGGGGGGAAGAGGGGGAAGAGGGTGAACGGTGTTTTAACCATCGATTGTCAGTCACTGTGCTGTGCAGATGTGCAGCCTCCTGGCAGAGGAGATTGGAGACATGTGGTAGAACTGCTGATGTGAGACAGCTACTGTGTACCCCAGAGCAAACTTTAATAGGTTACTTAAGCATGCATGGTTGTTACTTCAAGGCCATTATTTTGTTGACAGATTATGTATATTATCCTTAATTTGCGTGTACACTGCTTTTCTATTGGCATATTAAACAATGGAGGCACTGGTTGTCAAGGACTACAAGACAAGCGGAGAGACCTGACACACGAAGAAACTATGGTGTTAATACTGCTTCCATTTTGGACTGCTCCTTCAGGCCTTTTTGAGGGGCCAGAGATTAGCTTTGTGCTATCCTACTCTCATAGCTTCAATTCATAGTGTGGGGGCTTTGACTGCAGCCAAATATGCCATTGTCTGCATTCCCTCTGAACTTACAGCCAATAGGGGAAATGTTCCTCATATCTATGGGTAATTATCTAAAGAGTCTGACTCAGCAAAATACAGATTTTAATTCAATCTCATCCTGCCTCTGAGCTCCCATGAGATAGATTTTATGTCTTACGTTGGGGTTATTCTTGTTGGCATGTTCTTCACAACTGCAGTGACTGATACCCTACCTGGATCTAGCTACAAAGCATGCCTAAGAAATCTCCCCCAGAGAGAGATTGGGAGGAATACTCTGTGGGTAGATTGTAGCAGGCAGTGAGGTGCAGGGCTTATTCAAACAGCCTTAGATTTACTTTTCCAAGCTTTGCCTGGCTTATCTTGTCCTCCGAGTTAGTTTAGCAAGTGCAGACTCAGCGTAAGACCCCTGCTGCTAAGTTCTCTTTATTATGTCATGGGCCAGAGTGTAAGCAGCTATGGGGAGATACGGCAGTATTGCCTTATTCTTTGCTATATAATACACGAGGACAGACAATCATACTGTAGATTGGCTAGAGAATAAAAATGTTTCTATGCATTTCACTCTGTAAACAAAGGGGTCAAATAATGAATACATCACATTCACTTGATGCAAACCACAATGATCAAAGTGATTGAAATCATTCCAAGAGAGGGGGAAAGCTTGATCCTGTCTACAGAGAGACTCTCCAGTATCCACATCTTTTACTGTAGCTGCTGCATGGATCCAAGAGCAAGACTGCAATAAACAAACGTGTGCACTGTTTCCCAAAACAGACCCGTGGTTAAATTCCCGATAGACCTCCGCTCTGTTGTTCTCTTTTACAAAGGCTTGTGCTGGGTAAGTGTGGTTGTGCAGTGTATAGAGCCCAGGTTCCAGCTTCATTTTCCTCCCGGCAGACACCATCTGCTCGCTGGGGAGGTTTTCCAAACAATCCCATAGTAAAGATAGGGGAAATGAGGAACATGGCTACACTACAAACACAGCATGTTCGGATGTTTTTTTTCTTCTTTAAAATGAAAAACAGGTCACCTAAAATGAAAGAAAATAAATACAGTAAATACCCAAATAAATACATGACTGAATCCCTGCCCTAATTCATGCCCTCACATTGCATTAGCATATGCATACACAGATGCACACACACACAGATGTATTTGCTTTCTATTTATTTAGAAGCATCTATGATATTCATAATGTGGTCATTTGTTTTCAGGAAAGCATCCTACAATTAGTGGACTGCATTTGATCCCTCTGAGGATGGTTGTTTTGTATTTTATGTGTTGATAGTGTATAGAAAATGTTTTCAAATAGATCAAATTCTACAATATGTAAGCAAATGGATGTGTGGTGTGTATAAATTACATCAGTAGGAGTTCACAAAGACCATTTTATTCTGTATTTTAATGGCCCATTGACACTCAGTGAGAGGATTTCCTATTCTTTGGCTGATGGATGTAAATGAAATGTTTGTCCTTGTAAGAGGTAATCACATGTAAACAGACACTCTTATCTCTTAGTGTTCTACAATTTAAATTTTGTGCATTAGGGTTTAAATTTAGACTAAAGCAACAGGTAGAAATTAGACCTTCAAATAGCATTTTAATGTTGGTAATACATCTTTTAAAGTAATTTGCTACCAAATATTGACTTCCATTGACTAGTATGAATTTCACTCATAACATGGATTCGGCCCTTATTATATTCCTGACATATCATTAATTTTGAAATGGTGTGGAAAAACGATTGGATTTCAAATTATTAACTATGGAGAGAAAGAACAACAGAAAGATCCAGAAGAGTGATGTTGTACATTTCCTGAGTCATCATACACACAGATTCTTCCTAGGGCAGCGTTGTGTGAAATGGAGTGTGAAATGAGTGCACTTAACATCCCTGCAGTGAATTATACACATTATCTTACACTAGGGTTCAAAAGCATCCTGCCTCTCGCCTGTGAATCTGTCATCAGGCTACGTACACCTTTACTCAGGTCCGTTTAATGTTCCCTACATGCCTGGGTCCGTTTGATCAATCTATCCATGCCAGGAGTTGAAGACACAAGTGTAAATAATATTAAAAGAATTCTTAGCATCTCATTGAACTTACTTGGAGCACCACACAGGGCTTTGCTTCATTAGTGTCTGATAAATCACCAAAAAGTACCCAAAGTGACTTTTAACCTGTCGAAACATTCATCCTTTTTCCTCTTGTGCCCTTTGTTAGAAACTATGTATACTCATCTAGAGATTGTAGTATGCCTGTCATACTGATAGAAGGGAAATGTGCTTTAGTGTGCTTTCATATGAATAATGAATAAACACCGTAAAAATTCAACTCAAAGCACTTTGACAGCTACAAAAGCAGCTATTGGTAATACATTGTGAATTTTTGGGGCCATTTTTCTTGTGCTAGAATGTACTTTTCTTATTAATTTGGATAACTTGCCAAACACAGAAGACATGGTGGCCAGGGGCGGATCTACAAAAATATGCAGAATGTGGCAAGAGGGTGGCATATATATGTGCTGACAACAATCACACATGTGAATAATTACTTGGAGAAGCCCCTGAATTAAGATATTTCAACTAAAAAAGATTACATTATTATTGTGTCAAATTAATAGAAAAATGTCAAGGTGCAATCAATAAATTGTTGACATTTTTCCAAATAAAAAGTAAATTATATGTGTTCATTTGCAACTTTAACATTTTTAATTTTTAATCCAAAATTTAATCTAAATTAATGTGTTAAATTTGACAGAATTTGACATCAAACTTGGTTGGCCAGGTATTTTTTATGGGGGTAGCTGCCACCCCACTAGATTCGCTCCTGATGGTGGCACATTAATATTATACTATCATTTATACTACTATATTACATTTTAATAAAGCAGCAAGTTGTACAACAACAGAAGCATAACTGATGATATATTTAATGTTAATATAAGGTAATGTATTATAATAAGAAAATGACCAACAGGAAGAGATTAAAATTGTAGAAAGATACAAAATACAAGAAGAGGAACTGTTACTGTAGTAGACAAATGTTGTGCAGGGAGCACTGGGCCTACATCAAAGAACAGGTAGAGGTATCACTCTTTCACTCTCCACCATAAGTGGCCCCAACAGACCAAAATGCAGTGGGGAAAATACTGTGTTTCAAGAGTAAAAGAGAAAGCCAAGATCACAGATACATGTTCACAGTTAGTTGTACTAATGTGCCCACAGGTCCATATTCACTGGAAACTACTGTAACATCATCACTCCTAATTCCTCAGGGTCGTCAACAGGCATTCTGGGAAACCAAAACTGTAGAGATCCACAAACTGTATTAGAAGTAGATAAGAAGATAAGATAATATGAGATAAAAAATATCAACATTTCATCATAAACCTTAAATGTACATTTTTGACCACATGGGGGGCAGTGGAAATAATATGTAAAAACAACAGTAACATATCATTGCTCCTTAAGTTGATATTGCAAACATGTTCGTAAACATCTGCTTTTTTACAGATTCAGTAGACATGAAGGAACATTGGAATTCATTTGGAGTCCTGTTCTGGCCACCTGGCAATTGTAAGTCCAATATTTACTGTCTCTTAGCTCTGTTTTTGGTCTCTACCAACTCCTGAGGGACATATCTCACTCTTCAGCTGCTTTAGCTAGTCTCTGGGCAAGTTATAAACAGTGAGTTTGGAGAACTTCTTCGGTGAACGGCTGCCTACAGCGGCCATAAAACAACGCTGTGGGAGTGACCAAGTTATGGCCATGAAGCCAAAACAGTGAGCTAAAAGGTAGGGGGGGTTGAATTGGAAATTAAGGTTTCCAATTGGGAGATTCTCCAGAGCAAGTGAGGCGTGTGGTATTGTAATCCTGGGCTGTGGACTGAGGGATACTGAGGAGCTCTACGTTTCAGACAGTGCTTCTGCTGTATTGAGTCTCTTCAGCCTCATCGCTCTAGGATGCTTTCCCACCTTAAAAAACAAATACTGAACATGACATGATGATGTGACGTCACAGGCAGTTGTGGTGATGGCTTGCCATCTTCTGCAGTTGGCCTCTCAATAGCGCAGTATTTCATTATGCATATAACAGCCCTAGTCTGTGCAGAGGGAGCAATCGTCATCCCAAGTCACGTTTGTCAGATTGTCTGTAACATTTTTGTGTCCTTTGTCATATAATACAGGTTGATAGATACAATTTTTAAATAAAAAAAGAACAATGATTCTTATATTTAGGTCATTATACACAAATTAAAATATACTTATTAATATTATATTCCATTTCTGCCAATAGAGCCTCCTAAATGTTACACACTGGACCTTTAAATCAACTAGGGAGAAAACAAATGAGCAATGAGCCCTTCAATAATCATACATCAAACCAAGTAAAATCCACAAAATAAGATATCTTTCCTCTCTCCCTAGCCTCCCATAGCCCTCAGCTCCCCTCAAGCGCCCTCCATGCCATCCTCCAAACCACCACACCTCCCACTTACCTCCCACTATACCCCCCTTTGCATTAGTATACTTCATTAACATATAGACATGGGCATTTCCAAGACAATATATATTAATGGGCCTCACCTGAATGCGTTCTTTTCTCAACATGAAATTATAGCTGCCATAAAAGAGAGCTGCAGACTCTTGTGTTCCCTTCTTTTCCACCCAGAGAGTGACAGTTACAATGATACCGGAGATGAGAGTCTTGGCTGAGAATAAGAGCTGTGACAGCACTGGTGTTACCAGTAACAGTCGCCTCCTATTTTTTCCAAACTATCATCTATGATTTCCTTTCCTGCTATTCATGGACGACTGTGTAATGTTTGCTGATTTCAGTGTTTTTTTTTCCTGTATTGCACCTGCATAATGAAATAATAGAAAAAGAAGCTGCTGTCACACACTAGCTATTCAGAAACCATATTTAGACATACTTTATCTCTGCTCTTCACCATCTTCACAACCAAGCACTACTAAGATGGTTTTAGTGATATAGAAAATATGATGATATATATATAGATAGATATAGATAGATAGATAGATAGATAGATAGACAGATAGATAGATAGATAGATAGATAGATAGATAGATAGATAGATAGATAGATAGATAGATAGATACTTTCTGAGCTGTTCTTTTAGTTGAGTTCAAGCGTGACCTGAGTAAAATTTTACAACATAGCAACACTCTTGCTTAGATATTCTTTCCACCTCTGAATGTGGGTGTAACCGGACAGAGGCAACAGTCCACTGTGATCACGCTGCACTGCACTCTATATATCCCATTTGTGCTCACTTTCCCTTGAAACCTCCCAATACCAACACAAAAACCATGATAATATGGACCCAAAAATAATTTTGTGACATAATAATAGCAAGGTAACATCTAAGTTTCCTGCAAAGGTAGCAAGTAAGTTAAAGAGTAACTTAACCACTGGCTGGAAAGCAGTGTTTCACTGCTCTGTGTCCTCTGTTTCACCTGTAACCACACCAAACAGTGATGTCACCGTGTACTGACACACCCTTGAGCACACTTCTGTATCGCTGCAGAAAGACTAGAAGTTAAGAAGTTAAACCTCAACTCAGAGGTGATGATTAGTTGCGTGATAGATTTTTTGGTCACATGGCTATAAACACATAACTGATATTATCACCTTTGTAAAGGTGATATAGCAAACATGTTGTCAAACATTGGCTTATTTATACATCCAGCACACCTGGAGCAACATAAGCATTCATTTGAGTCGACTTTGTGTCCATCTGTTGAATGCAAATCCAATATTTAAGGACAAGTGGGAAGGATTTCGTGGCATAGGGCAGTGAAGTTGCAGACTGCAACCATTTGAATACAGATCAGCCTTCCAAGTGTGTAGGAGAAACTTTCTATAATGCGTTTGGTTTGTCTGTTCTGGGCTACTGTAGAAACAAGGTGGTTAATCATGGCGGCCTAGGTGGAAGAGAACCCATTCCCATCTGTGGATAAAAGCGGCTCAAGGTAACCAAAACACAATTATTGTTATAGTATAGTCAGGTGATTATACACTAATGAAAACATGCCTATGAATATTGTATTCCATCTCACCCAATAGAGGCTTCTAAATGTTACTCACTGGACCTTTCAGTGTCTTTTTAGTTCTGTTTTGCTCTCCACCAACTTCGGAGGCAAATCACCGGCTCTAGTTGCTAAATGCTCCATGTTTACAGGCTAGTTGCTAACTTTGTCTGCCTGTCTAGGGGTGGCTGAGACACAGCATGAAAAAGACTTCCCCAAATCCCAAGTGGCCACAGAAACAAATGACTGAGTTTTTACTGATGTGTTTATTTACAGTGTATTTTAACTGTAGAAACAGAAAGGCATCAGAGAGGCAAAGATCTTACAGACTACAATGCGAAGATTTGAAACAGGAACAAGTGTTTGGAGGAGAGGGAGATGAGTTGTACCCTACACAGCACCACCTCAATCTTCATTCAAACTGAGAAAAGAGCACACAGTAATAGCGCAACCAAATACCACCACAGTCATAACACTGCCGTTTGCTAAAAAACTGGGGGACTGCAGTCGGGTGATAGTTTTCTGTGGGTTTGTCACTACGACCAACCCCTTTCACATTACACATGGTCATTTGATGAAAGAATATAGAAAGGAACTTAAAAAAGGCATAACAAAAGCAGAGGACCCCTATTGTCACTAAATACATGCATAGTACTTACTTAAAATCCCAATATGGTATCAGTAGATAGATAACAAATGGGTTTGCAACCAAACAAATGAGGGTCAAAAGCTGCTGCTTAACCAGCCTAAATGAAACAAATAAAACTCCCAAACAATACTCCCAAAAGTATTTGAATGGTCTCATGCAGTCACCAGATCTGTACCAAGTTATCACCTATGCTACAAAGTACATGTATCACATTACGTCTACCAATTTGTTTTGCCAAATACATTGTCAGGTAAAACGTAGTGGAAGCGGAGGACTATAGCACCAGAGACTGGAGTTTATATCTCAAGTAGAGTGTGTGGTTAGATTTAGGCAACAAAAGCACTTTAGTAAAGGTTTGGGAATAATTAAGTAGATAGATAAAGTAAACACAACATGTCTTTTGCTTCTAGCTACTTCTCACTTTTTCAATATTTAACCAAGAAAACAAAGCTGGTAAACTGGAGCTATGCTGGCAGCTTGTGACGACCCAACACTTTTTTTAAGACACTTTATGTTAATTTTTCCTCTAATTTGTCACCCAAATGTATTTCAGACTGCACCACCATATAAGCAGTTTATCACACATATAGCAAATGCTTCTTGAAAATGCTGCCTTAATTCTAGTTATTGCAGTCATGGGCACAATAGGATCCATTGTAGTGAGAATAACGGCCCCAAAGATTGGTGTCGAAGAGAACCAGCACACACAAACATTGCAGGATACCTATGGAGCAATAAAATATCTTTCCAAATGTTTTCCTGTATAATGGGCAGAAGTCTGAATTATGCTAAATGTACTTGTATTTATATAGCATCTTTCTAGTCTTCCAACCACTCAAACTGCTTTACACTTACATGTTACATTCAGCCGTTCACACATATTCATACTCTGATGGCAGAGGCTGCCATACAAGGTGCCAGCTGCTCATCAGAAACTAACGAATCCCATTCACACACACTCACACACCGATGGCACGGCATCGGGAGCAATTTGGGGTTCAGTATATTCGATGCAAATGGAGGAGCCGGAGATCAAACCTCCAATCGTCTGATCAGCGCACGACTTGCTCTACCTCCTGACCCACAGGAGGTCCACTGTCTTTTTTTAAACGCTATTTAAATCTAAGGTGACATGCTGGTTGAGTGGATTTCAGGTCGGGTGGTTACAGTAATTTATAATGAAGCCTTGCAGATGCATTACTTTTAGCTCTGTTGCTTCACTTCCAATTGGGACAGCATGAAAAAATTTGCAGCGTTAATGGCAGTAGGTGCAAGTTTCGGGTTGCTTTCAACGACTCCCTCATTTGCGGACAAGACTTATACACAGCCCTCACTTATCAACACAGGTGTTGGTAATGTGGCTGGCTGAAATTATTGGCTCTGACATCAGCATTACAAATGGATGCCTGGGCCGTTACCTGCGGACAGCTCCAGTTCTCACAGTCACACTCTGCTGGCTGGGAGGAAGGTGTTTGATTCAAAAAATGGCTCTGCTCAGAAATAGATTGCCCAGTTTGCTATGATGAGATTAGTGTGGTGCAGGTTTTGGAGAATCGACAGAACATGAAGAGAGCTTTATAGCTGCTATATGGCTGATGTGCCCTAGAATTAGTGTCTATGGGCACCAAAGTGAAGTCTGAATCCTCTGATGTCCTGTGGTGATTCATTTAACTTTTCAACGGCTGATTAAACTGTCTCTGCCTTCCTTTTAACAAAGCATGACTGGATGACAGTTTGACAGTGAAACCTGTTTTATTTTGAATCTGTGGTGCACCGTTTATACCTACCAGTGGCACACTGTAGACATATTACAGTGAAACTTGCAATCACTGGTGTAGATGCAGGCACACAAAGGCGAACTGGCATAACTCAATTTA